TCTACTCTAGGCTAATCTGGAAAATACTTAAAAGAAGATTTTAAGAATCCGAATATAAAAGTTTTCAGGAGTGAGAAACAGAAATGTTCAAATTTTAAAATCCAGGTTAGGGCCAGGTATGTGGTCAGAAGCCAGGATCCATGATGAAAATGGCCGACGCCTCCTTGGAATACCAAATGAGACACATCACCATTGATGATTTATGGAATTTCCTCTTTAGATCAGAAATACTTCCAAAACCACCTCCCACTTGGTGCTTTAGCACTTCCAGTAAATGAAGTCAAAAGTGAAAATATACACAAATCCCTCCTTATTTTGACATTTCAAACCTCAATAAAGGCTCGGTTCCACATGCTGGCTTAAAATTAGACGAAGTTTAGTAGAATAAAGAAAGAGAAGGAAGTTTTTTGTTGGGTTATTTTTAATATGCTTCAAAGCTTGTTCAGCCCTTTTTTTGGTAAATTTTAAGACACAATTTAGAAAGAGGAAACAGGTCCCTGCAGGGACAAACTAAATTCCAAACTCACATGCTCAAAAGGGTGTTATCCTTACTTAGCATCTAAAAGAAAATGAATGGCTTCCTGATGATTTACCAATATTTGTGAACCAAGATGGATTTTGGGTTTGATCACTATGATCACCTCCATTTTGTGATGGAGGGGGAGGAGGGGGGAGAGAAAGATTGGGGGGGAGGGAGGGAGGGAAGGAGGAGGGATGGAAGGAGAGGGGAAAGAAGGGAGAAAAACTGATCGACTGATTTGAAAGTCATTAGGTTAAGTAGGGATCAGAATCCAGAAAGATGCACCTCACAAAGTTTTCCCAAAACAGAGCTACTGTCTACACACCAGAAGCTGATGGAATCAAAAATCTTCAGCACTATCTCCTGCCTAATTGAATTGGTACATGTAATGGGAGGAAGCTGTTTCTCAGAACCAGTAAATAAGTGGTGCCGGGAAAAGGAGGAGGCCAACAAGGCAGGCTGGAGACAAACAGGATTGGTGGAACAGGCACCCAGATTCTCCAGAAAGCAAATCCTGTTTAGCCCTTATCCATCCAGGTCACGGTGAAGCCTGTAGCGTAGCAACTTGCGCCTTTAAATACTACTATTCATTTGGTCATTAGTTTCTCTTGGTTCCTTTCATTTGCCCGTATTTTTGATAGCCAAATCCTTAAATGAAAGCAGAGGCTATGAGAATGTTGTCAAATTTCAATAATGCTCAAGGGGGGAAAAATCGCCAATCTCCTAATGGTTTGGTCTAACATTCTTCCTGGAGTTACCCAGTAACAGATTAATGTAGCTAAGCATTGTAACATTGAGTACTAAGAAAACATGCCTGAAATTTACAAGTAGGCCCCACTTGCTAGTTTAAAAAAAAAAAAAAAAAAAAAACCCACTTCCCGCATTTTCACTGCCATGTTTCTTTATTTATTTATCTTTAATTTATTGTGGTGTCAAAACCCATGTCTGGTCTTGGAAGAATTTTGGCACAAAGTTGGCTTTTTATAGTACCAGACCATTAAAACTACAAAGAAGAGTTTGGTGCTCAGTACCAAAAATGATATAAAGCCTGCAGATGGGGAAGGAAAGAAAAGGAGCTACTCTTGCAAGAAATCCAAGTCTAAGTCATGTAACTAAAATCCTTGGTGCTGGAGCAACCAAATATAGTCTATGCTTTAATATACTATCCAACTCATATTCCTAGGTCCTGATTTTGCACATAGTCTAATCCCAAACCTTGTAAATCTCTAAAGGTCAGAAAATGTTTTTTTGTTTATTTGCTTGTTTTGGGGAATGCCCCAAGTCTGACGGATTACAGGATATTTAAATGATAAAATTTGCAACAAATCCTGAGACGGATTAGCTACCACTCTGCCCCACTTGTGTCTGATTAAATGCAAATCATTCTTGTGATGCAACCATAAAAATGGGATAAGGTATGTATACCTGTTTTACAAGCATAAGACCAGAAGTCATGAACTTGGATCTTTAAATTGTCGTTCTGACAGCAGTCCTGCCCAGGAAAATGATCTAGCCTCCAGGAGTGAAGATCCACATTCTGCTCCATGCCTCCTAGCCCAATACTGGTAGCACAGAAATAATAAATATCTGGCAAATGAAGGAATTCACCAACCACATGGTGCTGGAGTGAGAATTAATTAGTCCAGAGTACCACGAAGATGGAATGATTCTGAGTGGGGACAGTGTCATGGGGTGATTTAGGGCCTCTGGAATCCCCTCACTGGTGCCAATGTCATGGTCAGTAAAATGGAAGGAGTAACAGTACCTCATTCAGAGAGTCCTGAGAGAATTAAATAAGATAATGGACATAGAGATTGAGAACACGGCCTGCTTGCCACACAGCAGCATTCAATAAATGCTATTAATATTATTAACATTCAGTAGCATTATAATCAGAAATAGCAACATGTGACATTTTCCCTTATCCTAAGACTAAATATGAACAAGACCTCCCCAAATCCCAGATGTGATCCAAACCCAATCAATCCATCAGCAAACGGTTAGCCTGCCTATGAGTCAACATCCGAGCATGCCTGTTAGCCAGCTCTCCCTATAGCTAAGAAGACAGGTCTTTTTTAATATAAGCAAATCATTCCGTCTAAGAAAACACTGGTAGTGAACTTCTTGATTTAGATATATGGTACTTATTTGAAAACTGGAGAAGCGACTTACGGCACATATTTGAACCACATTTTAGCACCTTCTCTCCATGCCTGTCCTCTAGTTCTGAAGTCATGTGCTGCCTACGCAGACAGCAGAAAGAAAGGCAGAAACCCAAGAGCTGTTGCCTGGAGATCAGGCCCCACACCTCTAACGTTCAGGACTCCTGACCTTGTCTGCCTTGGTTTCCAAATCAGCCTCCTCTACATTTGCACACCCTTGCCCTGCTTTCTCCTGGCCACAGAAGACTACTCACCTTTTCTACCACCTCGTCCGGCCTACATTACCTGACTCTAGGACGTTAAAGTGATCACAGATGATCTATTTGGCTCCTTACTAGCTTGATTGCTGGACCCGCCATGATGCCTCCAAATTTTGGAAAGGCACCAAATTGGCTTTTTTTTTTTTTTCTACCTATATTATGTGTCATCTTCACAATGAGCCTATTATGATCCTGTTATGTAGGTATTACTATCCTTATTTTATAGACAAGGAAACATTTACTGTACTTAAGTTAAACAACTTACCCCTGGATAGAATCAGACCTACAGGGCTTTGAATACAAGCTCAGGCACCAATTACTATGACTTCAACTGATCTATTTAACTTGGAAAGAACACAAACTAGGTATGGCCTGGTAGCAACAATTAATAGTAAAATGATGACTAAAACTGGCCCATGCTATTAAAGGAGGAAATTTTTAGGTACAATGAATGACTGATTACTCACTTAGGAGAGATTTCTGTCCATTGTAAATGCCCCAGAAGATTACAAAATGCACCTAAATAGCAGTGACAATAACCACAGCACAGAATTAGTTTGTCTAAAATCAAATAGCTGCCAAGTGATCAGCACAGGATTTGAACCCACATTATTAAATTACCCTGTTTCAGACCCAAGAGTAAATGCACTATACATGTGGGGAAAACAAATTTTTCAAGCTAAAAAAAAAGAAAGAAAGAAAGAAAAGAAATCTCCAGTATTTTGTTCTTAGTTCCCAGTTTATATCTTGCTATGCAGTACACCACACAATGGTCACTTTTGTTCAGCTCAGCAGGGCTATTTATATGTTGTAACTCTCAGTGCTTTTGGGGACTATGTTCTTCCTTCTCTGAAATCTAAAGATGGGCGTGTAAGAAAACTTCCAGGATAAGCGAACTCTGTTTCAGTGAAACAACTAGCCATGCCAGGCCCACCACCTCCAGGAACACGGACACCCCACCTCCACCAGGAAAGCAAAGTAAGAGAGGCTGCTCAGCCTCTTCCTGCAGGACTGCCCCGTCCCAATCACAGAGAGAGAGGGGGCACACCCCCCTCTCCCAGAAACCCACTTCGACAAAAGGAAAACAGAAATTGGGCTATGATGAGCCTTGCCCTGGTTTTTAACAGGCACAGAACACGAGCTTTTTGAAACAGGGGCATCTACACAGCTCGCAAAGACCTGAAGGAAGAGAAACATTAGATGCCTTTTTAAAAATGTGCAGCAGAGAAACAAGAAACAGAGGCAAGTTGTGGGCAATCAATACTTCCCCACTCCCGTAGATACGCAAAGTCATGGAGGATAGGCCAGTCTGTGGTACCAAGTCTGGGAGGGGAAGGAACAGATCTTTCTGAGACTGTTCGCTGACACTGCTGAGGGAGTGGGTGGCAATATTGAGTCTAAACCGAGCGCGTCTCCATCCCACCACCACAGCTCCTTACACTTCCCCAGGAAAACAAACTGCCTCACAGATGCATCGATTTCGGAGTTGAAATATAAAACGGGAAGAGTAATTTTTAAATACTGAGGCAGCTATGGCAGTTGGCGAGGCAGCTGAGGGACGATGCTAGCAACCTGGGTAGCATGCCATTTCAACTGCCGGGAACTTGCTCTCTTTGGAGGAGGATATCCCAGTATGGAGGCTAACACGAGGAGAGAGGCTCCGGACGGTCACAAGGGATCACAGATCTTGTTTCAATATGGCTAAATAATAATAATAATAATAATAATACTTATGGGGAACATTTGTTAAATGTGTACCATATGCCAAGCAATATGCTAAGTACTTCACCTGAATTATCTCATTTAAGCTCATAATCACCCTACAAGACAAGGTGGACATTTTACCAATATGGCAACAAGGCTAACGGGCTGCAACCAGCTCTAAACTTTAAGGAGTCCTTTTAGGGCTTCCATACATCATGGAAGCAAAAGTGGAGAGCACTCCTGGAATGCCAAAGGACCCAAGTAGGGGTGACGCCTATGTTCTAACAACAAAAATGTATGAGAATCCCAGGACCGACATTTAATAGCCGTGTGACCCTTGGCCATGTCACTTACCCTCTCTTTGGCTCAGTTTTCTTCTCTGTAAAATGGGGATGATGATAGCACTGCTTCGCAGGGTTGCTGAGAGGATTAAATGAGATAATAGAAGTAAAATACTCAGAGTCTTGTGTATTAGTAAATGAAGTACGTAGGCATAGGCTGTTACTATTTTAGTACTGTCACTAAGGAACATATTTTACCTAAAGGGCTACTTAATCTGGCTCACATGCTACCTCCCCGAAAGCACCTTTGCTGTCTACTGAAAGGAAGTTGCTCCCCCTTCTGTGTTTAATGCTCTGTTCACATATTGTCAGAGCCGTTGGCACACTGTGAGTATTTCACCCACAATAGGTAATTTACACGTATGTCTCCTCCACTGACTGAACTACTGAATGGGACTGTTTCTTACTACAGTTGCACTCGGCCTGCCAGGACTGAGCCCACTGCACTGTTACTAATTAACGGCAGCAGCAACAATAGCAACAGTTAACATTCTCATGACAAGAGTTTTACCCATGATATCACCTCTCATCTTTACAATAATCCTGTGACGTAGGCATCATTTAGAGTCCTACTTTATAGCTGAGGAAACTGCAGTGTAGAGGCTGAGTCACCCACTTCGGGTCACACAGCTGGTCAGTGGCGGGGCCAACACTCAAGTCCATCCAGGCCCTCTGAAGATCCACAAGCTTTGTCCTCTCTGAACCAACGTGATCTACTGACTCTCAGTGGTGAACTGGAAGCATTAGTCTCACGAGGCATTTTATTATGAAAGTTTTCTGAGTATAGGTAATAAAATACGGGAGTCTTCAGTGAAATTAAGGTAAATGAAGTGTGTATTTTGGAGTGCCCTAACTTGCCCAACAATTCATCTCCACTGTGCTTAGGTACAGTACAAAAAGCAGAAAATAGAGTGGTAAATATGATTCCTGTCATTTTGGGACCGGAGACAGTTATAAAATGAGTAATCAAATAAATCAACAAGACCATTTCAGATTGCTAAAAGTGCCATGAAAAAAATATATATATGAAGGCCAATTTTAGATAGAATGCTCCTCCACAGATGTATCATTTGAACTGAGACCTGAAGGCTAAGAATAAGGCTAGCCACAGAAGGAGCAGGGGAAAGTGCTTTCTAAGCACTCAACAAGTAGCAAAGGGGTTGGCAGGTTCCAAACATCAAAAGGAGACCAGTAAGGCATCCAAGGAGTCAGTGGTAGAGAGTGAGGTTGGACAGGGAGACCATGTGGTGTCTGTAGGCCATGGCAACAAGTTGGATTTTATTCTAAATCCACGGGAAACAATGAAAGGTTTTTAGGCAGAGGAATGATAAAAACTAATTTAATTCTTTAAAGACCAGTCTGGCTACTGTGTGAAGGAGTAAGAACAGAATAAGGGTAAGAATACTCAGGATTACTGAAGTAGTCTCAGCAAGGAAGATGGTGGCTGGGACTAGAGATGTTTTCTTTTTTTCCCTTTGAATTCACAAACTTCCATATAAAAATGGGAGATGTGTTCTATACTTATTCTAGTTGTCTATCCACATTCGACTTCTAGTGTCTTCAGAGTTCAGAGAGATCTTAACTTTCTTCTCTATTGTCTTCATTGTACATATGTGGAAACCGAGGTACAGAGAGGTTACTCGACTCGCTAACGCCATGCAAGTAATTTACAGCAGATTTCACTCAAAGTCAGATGTCAGGAGGCAAAGATATAATAATAAAACCTGTAAGCAGACAAAGTTTTCTGTTGTCCCTAAAAAGCCTGCCAAAATTCCGTATTTGAAATCTGCAACTACCCTTATATTTCAAAGTCTTTTTACAGCGTTTGAATCTCACATTAATTCTCACTTGGAAGATTAAGTAGTCCAGCATTCAGCTCTGACACATAGATGGAACCTACGGGGTTAAAAGAATGTAAGTAGAGTCAAGTCAGAGAATTGTGGGTTATGTCTGGGAGAAGTTCATAAAAGTAATTTTAAACTCCTCTGCTTTCTTTCCGTTCCTTCCTTCGTGTTTATGTGTAAATTATACCTTACTCTCTAGGTTGCATTTTGCCATTTCCCTCCCGTTTCCCCAAGAAAGCTCCCCAGTGTGACAATGCTTTAAAAAAAGGGCCAGTATGAAGTTCCTCTGAGTTCCTGCTCTCCTCAAGCACGGCTCCTATCACACAATAATGTGTTATTTTGTTGAATTTTGGCATCCATCTAGCTTGTTTGGTCAGAAGCCAAAAAATTAGAGTGTGTCGGTCCACCAGTTTCTCAGCAGAGAAGCTCTCTTCTCACCCAGCGAGTGTGCTGTACCCTTGGCCTCTGGCCAAGAAGGGAAATCCATTTTACATAAAGAATGCACAAAGCTCAAGTGCTCAGAGACTTTTTACCTACTAAAATAACTTTATGGACAAACGCCAGTCTGCTAGACACATTCTGCAGGAACATTTGGCATGCAAAACAAGGTAAAGAGCTCTGTGGAGGTAGCAAGTTTTTCAGAAACAAGGAAATGGCTGTGTGTGCCCTCGTGGCACGTCACGTGGCTTGGCACGGCCGGCGTGATTGGCTGCGGCCGAGTAAATACAGCCGCCATGTAAGGAGCGGAACGTCGCCCTTCGCTGGCTTCTTAAAATGGCGGCCTGAGTCCGCACCAGGAGAAGCAAGCTGAGTCCCACTCTCCGTTTCCCCCCTGAAGGTTTTTGTTTTTGTTTTTGTTTTTAAATAAACCTTACGGATTTGAGTAGAAACAGATTTCTCACAACTTGCTTCTCCGGCTCAGTTTCACAGTTCGGCATACACTCAGGCTCTGTCAAAAGCTTGACAATGTTCCAGGGAAAATATTAACTGTAAACTTTCCAAGAGGATTTAAAGGAGCCGGCAGAAACGTCAGGGAGCCCTCCCTTTTGAAAGCGTATCCCAGGTTTGCCGCCTGTATACGTTTTGCAAAGAAGCACATGCAGCCCGAGCTCAAATGACCTCCAGTATGGTCCCACTTCACCATGTCACACAGTGGAAAGGGGAAGAAAAAAAAAAAAAAGGACACATCCTCTTTGGCGGAAAGGCACGGAGGTCTCTCCCTCTCCCTCTCAGGCCTGACCAGTTGAACACTGCACACTCTGATGTATAAATATTTGCCTCTGGCTAAAGTTCAAGCAGCCCAGCGTGGCTGCCAGACACAACAGAAAACCAACATCCAAGGGAAAGTGTTTACTGCAGTGGTGGCCAAAGAAGCAACTGCCAGCAAAAGATCGCATCTGATTGGCTGGGCCTGCGTGTGGTGTTATCACAAAGCACCTGGCCCCTGGCCCCTGGCCACCGGGGTGTTCCCATCCTTTCAGAAATGGTTAGGTCCTTTAATGCACAGCCTTGCCACCGTTAATACAAGACCAAGAGACATGCCGATGGTTTTACATGTGTTCCTCCACAGCGAGGGGCCGGAATGAGCCAAACCCCCCGTATGTCTGCTACCACTACGGCAAAATAAGGGTTTGCTCCTTGAAACTACCTAGGTAGGGCGCGTGACCTTTATACACACTCCCACCTCACAAAACCACTGGCATTTCTCAGGTCCAGCACCGCCAGCACACCTCCAGTTCTTGTCCCTATGTATTCTGTAATTAAATTCCTCAATCATCATTTGGTGAATTTAAGCATCCTTGAAATTCCTGCCAGAAAATAAATTAGGAGACTTCTGATAGATAGGTACAATAGGCTACTTTAAATAAAGCCATGCATCCTTCAAATTCTCTGCAAAAACCAAAATATACATGTGTCCTTTTACTGGTTCTATAGTTCTGAAATAGGTGGAAATAAGAGAAGCTGCCCATCAAAAGATTAAGATCTTTAATAGGGATAAAGGAACTGAATGAGAAAAGGATCTTGAAGAAAATCTTTTCAGGGAAGTTATGAATTCATAGTTTTATGCTAAGCATGTAACCAGCAGGGCAAAGTCTTTTCATGGTTTTTAGTATTCAGGGCAGTCTGAATACAATCAAGATAAGTCACAAAAATTTTAAATTATTGTCATCCACATAACATTTCTATCTTCATAAACAATAATGAATGTATCAAATTTTTCCTTAATGTTGCAAATGAAATGCTTCTGTTCAGTTGAACTGAAAAGTTATACAGAAAACAGGACAGAAAAATCAAGGAATGTGAAGGTAAGAACTTCTTTTAAGTAAAATTTTTGATGTAATGGAACAATAATTTAGGTAAAGCAAGCCAAGCCGTTATGATGTCATCTGTTTCAAATAAAATACACATTCACTTAATTGAATCATTTGCTGTTTGCTGAAAATAAAGAAGATTTTATATCCGTACACAATTCAGAGTTCTAACTTAGAAAATTCAAGGTCCTGAATCTTGACTGATCTTGCTTAAAGAAATTTCTGCATCTGAACCTGTCGCAAAACTAAAATAATATACCAAATAATTCCGTTTTCAATTGTCTGTAAAACTTTAATGACTACATCAGTCTTGTGTAATCTAATTCTTAACCAAATGTGACACTGAGGTTGATCTGTGTTTGACCTCAGAAGCCCAGGACTTATAGTATCAAGTTTGGCTTCCAAGAGATCCCAACGAATCATGGGCAAGCGAATCACAGAGGAATGTTCTGTTCCCAGCTGTGAACATGACAGAATTAACTCTGAGACGCTTCTTCCTGCTGCCCTCGTGGACAGAAAGGTCAAGATGGTTAGCTCTTACAGTCTCAGTACCAACCGTCAAAACAACACGCATGTTAAAAATAGATTGTCTGTAGGCAACTAACACATAAATATAGAAAAAATTTTAAATAAAAATAGTTTTAATATATTCAAATTTCAGCTTTAAGTATTTTAAAGACTGTAACGTGAAGCCAAGGAGAAAAAGGACCAAACAATAATTTTCCCAAGTGTATTAACTTCGCAAAACTTTGAGTCTTAAAATTTAAAAAACAACCATTCTGACCCATGGATGACACTTTTCTTAGGAAATTCCTTGGATTCACCATCAATTCATTGGGAATTAAAGCACAAGAGGCAAATTTACCACTTTTATTTGTTTATATTTTGATAACTGCATTTTTCTCAGCTCAATTTCTATGGAA